GGGGTTTCTTTCCCTTTAATTATCATTTTCCAGAGTAAGGAGTTGCTCTAACAGTCACCTCCCGAGCTGGGAAGTGAGCCTTCCTCTCCTCCCTGTTGTGTCTTGGTCTTTTTAAAAAAATTCATGGACATAGGAACTTTCATTTGTTCAATAGTTTACAATCAGTATGCTTTTTGAATTTGCACATGTGCGACAGGAACCAGTGCAGACTGGCTCTTGTGCCCTTTTGACAGGGCCCCATGTTTCTCTGAGTACTTGCCTGCTTTGGGGCATAACGAAATGTCCCAGACCAAACCTTGTACTTGCCACGTGCGTCCCAGGCCCGGAATCACCCATTTCTCCCACTGAAAGCATCCACTTGTTTCTAAATCTCTTGTTTATGTCAGTAGATTGATAGCATACATATTCTTTACTAGGTAGAACTTAGTTTTGTTTATATAGGATTTCTTAGTCTTAAACGAACTTGTACATATGTTTTCTCATTGAAGCTTATTAACAAATGTGTTATTAAAACATCAGTGTCTATTTTCCAGATGAATTCACAGCCTTGCTGATTTGTTTATAAATCTGAATTCTCACTTAAGTGCTATAAGGTAGCGGATAAAAGAGCACGGCTGTGCTTTAAGAGAGCAGCTGGCAGAGTGGAGCAGAAATATCTCAAGCTCCTAACTGAGCGCTTGCGTCAGAAATCTCCCAGAGATGTTACATTTGTCTTTTTAGGCCGCGTAGTCAACTTTAACTCATTAAAATAATTCTTAAGAGAATGTAAACAGTGAGGAGAATTGGAGTTGCCTGATGTTTCCTAAAACTTAATTCTATGGAGTTCGATGTATAGAAGAGCGAGTTAGAATAAAAACCACCAAATAGACAGACCCGCTTTGAGCAAGGACCTAAGTGTTGAGCTCATGGGAAAGCAAGGGCCACAGATGAAATTAAAACAAGAACCACTGCAGGGGCTGAAAGAACAGAATGCATCAAAGAAGCGTGTCCTTCAGGAAGGAGTACTGGGCCCGAGTTCAGGGCGCGCTAGACAGAATTAGGTTTTCTTAGAGATGTCTGCGCATTCGCCATGTGCGTGGACTATAATTAAAGGTGATGTAATTTCAGCATCTTGATCTTTTTTCCTGGGAAATCCTACCCAATGCTTTTCTAGTTTGCCTGGATCTTACAAACGACCCATTTGAACTTGGAAACTAGACGAACCTGGAAACCATACACAGAGTTAACAAAACCAGGGCCAACTGGGCTTGTTGCCCGGGAGACCGTCCTAGTAAAACAGTTAACACAAACTCAAACAAGTGTGTGAAGGAACAGCGAAGGTGGAAATTGGTCAAAACAATTAGGGATGGCTTATTAAGAATTCTTTAAGAATCAGAGAAAAGTTGAGTTTGTATTGACGTGGGATCTTCCATATAATCTTGAACCTGTAGGTTCATTGGAGCACTCGTACATTTCACGTTGAAAGTTTTCAGTCCTTTGTCATTATTGGGAAGTTATAATGTCTTGCATGATTAGGAAGCCATTGGTGATCTTGTTCAGATCCTAAAGATTTGGGCTGTATTTATGTTGATTTCTACCGGAATACATTTTTCATGTAAAGGGATTTCTCATATATTCTTCATTGTACAGGCAGAACTTTGAAATGGGCTTTAATCGGTTGTAGGGGAGATTACTAAATGCAATTGCGAATAGGTTACTAAAAATTTACAACAACAAAGGTATTAAGGTGAATTTAGCCAGAGTTAGGACCTTTTTTTTTTTTTAATTTAGGTGAAACTAAATAAAAGTAAAAACCGAACATTCTTCTTAGGGAAAGCAAAGAAATCTAGTATTGCTGATTGCTAAATATAGATGTGATTATACTGTTTATTTTTTTAGGATTTGACTTTTTAATTTTCCACCTTCAAAATTGAAACGAGGTTAAGCTCTTCATTATCTGGTGTTAGACTAATAAATGATTCCAAACCTCTTGTTTCCAGTTTTCTTTTCAATAGCTGCCAAGGTATGTTTGCACGTCGACATGGAAGCTGATTAGCATTTTTGAGGGCTGTCTTCATCTTCAGCATCGACACAGGCTGCTTCTGTGTGATCTAGATTAAATATTTGTATAAAAGCAGGCCAGCGAGGGTGGGGCCGGTTCTGTTTCCTTGCCTCGTGTGGTTTTCATTAAGGTTTCCGCGTAATGGGTCTTACTTTTCAGCTGCTGTGGGTTCGTGGAGGTATCGCGCGGCTTCTGTAGGCCTGCAGGTCAGTGCCGCCTTGTAGCAGCCCCGACAGACCTCATAAGCTGCTAACTTGGGGCCATTCCGGCCTCTGCTCAGCTGCTAACACAGCTCCCATCCGATGGTGGGTAGCAAATGCCGGCGCCTACCATGTCCAGTGCGGGTCACTGGACCTTACATGGCGTTTGCCCGCGTGGGTCTCAGGCGTTCGCGGGCGTCGGGGGCGCTGGGCAGCTCCGCCCCGAGAGCGAGTGCGCAGCGGGCTGCAGGGGCCCCGAGGCTGAGTGTCCGGCGCCTGACGCTGGCGCCGCTGCCTGATCTGCGGACACGCTTGGAGACGCGCTGGCACAGACTATATTGGGTGCTTGAAAAACAAAAACGCCGCCACCCGGTTCCCACAATAAAGCCTTCCTTCACTGTTATTCTTCACCTTGGACAACTGAGAGGAGCCGTGGGCTACTACTGCTCTCCAAGCGTGTCTTACACTCCAAGGCGTGTTTACAGGACTGCTTTTCAAGACAAGCGTGCGAGAGCGTCGGGCGCAACGTTTTCATTCAGGAACTCTGCCCTGTGGCCCACGGTGGTTCCTTTCCTTCTGAACTACAGTAACCTCCCCCCCGCATTTCGCCTTCCGCGGGACTGTGGTTCTGAAATATGACATGGCCACCTCCCTTCACGTCATCACGCAAGCATTGTGTCAGCTCATGTCGTCACAAGAAACAAAAGCGGGGTGAGCACAGGCCTGAGTTGTTGGTGTCTTCCTGTGCCCGATCCAACGTAGTATGCGCCTATACGGAGCTTCAGCGCTGTCTCGGCTCCAGCATCCACCGTGGGCCTCGGGACTGGTTTAGGGCTCTGGCCCCGTCCTTCCTTCCCTCCCTTGTTGGGGTGCCACCCAGCAGAGGCGTCACTCAGTCCCGCGGAGGTGAGCTCTCGGGGGGACACTGCCTGAGGCCAGCAGGTCGGGTCTGCCTGCCCTCGCTGCCGCGCGCTGACGGCGAGCTGGGTGCCGTTATGGCAACGCGGAGGCCGGCCGTTGAGATGGTGCATCGCCCCATGTAAGCACACACCTCAGTGTCAGGACAAGTCTGCACTCGTCAGTCGCTCGGATGTGGCTCTGCCAGGAAGCATGTACTTCTTAGGAGTTCACTGAAAGCTTTGAGTGAATAATTCGGCAGGGGAGACGTTACAAGTGTGGCTTCTAAGTAGATTTCGGTTCATTGGGAACAGCTCTTTCTCTTAGTTAAGGTGAGAAGATTGGCGAAGAAAACTTGGGTGGAGTCAGGGAAAATGGCATTTCCCCAGGTAGGTGACTTCCTGTGACCTGAGCAGAAGTGGGGTGACGCTGCGGGAATGAGGGCCCGGGGTGCCCACTCCATGACAGGTCACAGAGGACCTTCGGCCTGGCCGGCGGGCTCCCCCCGTGTGACGGGGCGCGCTGGAGCTCTTACTGTTGGCTTTCACTGGCACAGATGTTTTTTATTTGTTCCTTGATGCCGGTTACGCATTAGAGGACGAAGCGTGCTGTGGGACTTGCTAAGCCAGTTCTGAAGCCTTCGCTCCCGTTTATATGCTACCCAGCCTTCAGATGATATTTCGGCACAAGCTCGGCTTCCTCCTTTGACCCCAGGAAGAGAGGAGTAGACACAGTAGGACACCTGTCCTGTTGGGAATAGCGCCCTATTTTTTTAAATGGAATGACCGCTTCAGGGCTGTATTAGTTTAATTAAATGGTAGCTTCAGCAGAATTAAATAAATGATCTTTCGTAACCCAGCAAATGTCTTTAATATCTTTTCTCTTTTAATATCTTTTTGATATGGTTAGCCCCCATAAAGAATTATTTTCTAACCAAATGTCGTGGGTTCTTGCATATTTAGAGATTTTTCTGACATTGTGTATTTCTATGAATGGAATAAATAAAAGAGCATTAACTGTTAGTTCCATGAGGATGAGGACTTTGTTTTGTTTATCACCATATTTCCAACATTAACAATGCTGCTTAATACACAGTTCTCAGTAAATATTTGTGCAATGAAGGAAAGAAATCAGAGAGCTTGTAGCTCTACATATGTTGTATTACCTAGTTACTACCACAGGGTGGTGCTGTTGCACCGTGAAATGAGAGGCTGTAATTCTTAGGCTCATATAAATTTATAGTTTTACATAAATCCTATGAATAAACAAAATGAATTGACTACCTATTATGTTTATTGCCAGCTTCAGTTATTTATAATTTTAGCTTGTGATTAGCCTTTTGATTTCGTGATTAAGTCAGGCAGTGAGATCATAACCTAAATAAAGGACTTTGGTTCAAATCTTTATCAAAAATTAAATGAGATAGCACTTATAAAACCCGAGCACAGTTCCTGGTTAGTTTCCTTTTCTCTCCTCTATTTTGGGTTAAAAGTCTTTGTTAAATTTCTATTCGTTTTAAAATAATTTGCCAAATTTTCTAATAAATTATCAGTGAACTTAAAATAATATTGTATGACTCTTTTGATTATCAAAAGATTTTAAAAATTGATTCCAAACCTAGATTTTACTATATTTTCCCCCCACTGCAAAAAAAAAAATTTGCTTTCATGATTCTTTTATGGGGTAAAAATATTAACATGTAGCTCTTTTACACATTTGTGCAGGTATGGTCACAGTGTGTAAATAAAGCTAGTCTATACTTTGTGAAACTAAGTGTTGAGAAGTTTGTTGTGTAGCTTGGCCTCTTCTTTTCCTGTGATCAAATGGACGTTTTAATATTGTGGTTCTATACTTGTCCTCAGACGGAAGCGAAAGAGGAGGGACCAGGATGGTCAATCCTCCGTGACGATTTCATGATGGGAGCATCCATGAAAGACTGGGACAAAGACAGCGACGGCCCAGATGACAGCAGGCTGGGATCTGCAAGGGACTCGGACACATAAAGCTACATAGAACACGCAATGTGCAGCCATGTCATTTTCCGTAGAAAAATACTGCATGTTCCGAAAGCTGGGGAATTATAAGGCTACTGTTCGTAAGAAACCCACAAGACTTTTATGATTACCAACTTTGATTTTTCACATAAAACTTGAATAAAATTATGTTTTCAAACTTGGTAATTTTAAGCATTATTCCTCAAAACATTTGTAAAAAGAAATATTTATACTTGTCCGATGACATATGCATTTTGCCAGGATCATTATAGGTTTACATGTTGGTCATGGATGTCAGTGTTTTGTTTTAGGATTACCGGTGTTTCTAGAAATACAGTGCTGTGTAATTAAATGGAACTCCTTGAAATAGTGTTTTTCAGCCTTCCAATTGACATATCTATGTATTTATAGTTATGGGGGGAAGAGTTGGTGTTTGTTTTGGTGAGCTATTGAGAAAACTTATGTAGAAAAATTTAAATTATAATATTTCTGAGTTGGGGTGATAATTTTAATTTTTAGATATTCTGGCAAATATGATATAAGAAACACACCAGATTTCTACTTTTATATTATTTCCTTTTCCATGCTAAGTAATATACATAAATAACAACTTAGATTTATTTTTAAGTGTTAGGTTATTTTTGTATGAGAAATTTACTGAGGTGGAAATTCTCGTGTTTAACTTATGCAGTGAGGTATGATTTCTTAGGACGCGCATTTGACAGATTTTATCGTAGTTGTTGTTCTTCTCTTTCACATTTAAGTTACCTTAAATTCTCTTGTATGGCCTGGCTGACCAGTGAAATAGTAAAGTCACACAGCAGGTAGCTGGCATCAGAATAGACATCTGACTTGAGACTTGGTTTATTTTTGTTGCCTTAAAGATTACTGAATGAATTGAGTTTTAACGTCTAGCTGGTAAATAAAAAGAGAAGAGAAAGTAAGAAAGTAGTATCATTCCAACATTTCTGTGAAACTGGGTCTAGGACCTAAAGTTTGTAGGGGAATTATTTAATAAATGTGATCTGTTTTTTTTTTTTTTTTAAGGCTCCAGCTGTTTCTCCATCTTTCCATAATAAAAATAGTTCCCTCCAACTACCCACACACACATACTTGTATCTGTTATGTATCGAAAGATAATCTTCCCCCAAACTACTGCAACAAAGATGTTTATATTCTCAAACCCATTGGAGTGCTGTAAGTGTTACATAGTTAAAGTTCAGTTAGTTTGTAGTCTGGTATTTGTTATCATAAAGGAAGGTGTACACCCAAGATCTCAAGTGATTAAACCAGCAAAGCTCAAAATGCATTTGTGTATGTATTCCGGCTATTGCACTTTAGTGTCTTATTAAATTATAGAACTGCCATTTTGTCAGTGTAATCTAAATAAATGTGGACAGATATTTCTCAATAGTAATACAAGAGGGCTAAGGATCCCATTATAATTTAACACAGGTAAATATTTCAATGTAAGCTAACACATAGGTAACTTGGGAAAAAAAATTATTTGCAGCACTTAAAAACTTTTTCTCCCCAGAATTAAAGATTGTGCTCTGGTTTTTGTTACGAATCTCTTCCTGCATCATACTAAAGCTTTGAGAAAATTCTCCTGAATAGTACATTTGGGTGATAGAAATGGGTAAATAACTTCCCATTTTCTAAAAAGGTGTTGTGGAGACATACACTCATTGTATAATCCTTAGGTTAATTTAGAAGAATTCAACAAGATGTTCAAACTGAAAGTAAGGAAGAGAATATTTGCAGATTTTCTTCTTTCAGAAATTATTTTATTCCAAAATAAAATCGAGTTGCCACTGTAAGAAAAAATATATCACTTAACATTCAAAGGCTATAAAGCATATGTAAAATTAAAATCATTTTTATCATAAAGCTGGGATGTTTAAATGTACTAATATTTCTACATCTTGGTTGGAGAATATTTAAGCAAAATGACTACCATATATGACTATGAATCTAAGGGTGAGCATATTATTTTAGATTCCAAGTGTATATCTTTAGATGAATGGTTTAAATAATGTATTATAGTTCTGGTGCCTCTATCCTGAATATTGTACCCACGACTAAATTCTTCTGACATCAATCAGATAAATAATTCAGCATCCATTCCATTTTTCTACATTGTCTTTGAGTTATTTAAGGAAGGACCTTAAAAAGAACTGCATTTCTGTTACTCCCCGCCCCCCAATTTATCTAATTATAACAATATCTTTGTAACGATTTAGACTAATATAGTGATCAAAAGTTGTTGTTTTTTTATTTGTTTACAAAGAACTATGGAAAACAGTAACCAGGTAACTAGCTATTACCTTATTCCTTATCTGGCTATTTAGGTGGCTAGGTGAGTTTTCTCAGTATCGAGCATAGTTTAGTATTGGTTATTAATGGTTTTTCAGCATTGAAATCTCAAAAAGTCAAAGATAATACCTGTGCTAGACTGACAGCAATGCAGGATCATCTTTGTAGGTTAGCATTTTAACTCAGAGCTGGAGTACTGAATTTCTGTTTTCAAGTTACCTAGCATTCTGCTTAGATCAAGTATTATTTTACTGAAAAACAATTGAGTGGAATCGTTCAAAGGCTCGCCTTCAGTACAGTGAGCCTGAACGGACTCAGTGGGATGTTCTAGAAGGTTTACATGAGGGTAAGTCCAAGTTCTTAAAAATATTTTGTGTCTTTTATAACCAGTGGGTGAAAAGGGAATGTTGAAATTCTGAAAACCCTCGTAGGGCTTTGTAGTCACAGTTTTGCACATATGAAATACTGCTTAATATTCAGTGGCCACCAGCTCCACTAACCCTGCCACCTGTGCTGGATATGTGAGCACAGCACTTACTTATAAAGCCATTTGATTGCAAGTAATCAATGTCCTCGTTAAACATACAACCACAGAGACTTCCTAAAGTCAAAGTGTGAACAGAAACATGGACAAAACTATAGACATAAGTTGTGTCACTAAAGAGTTAAAGGCATCATAAGGCCCAAGAAAACACCTGTGCAGGAACCTTCAAAGAGCATCGCCATTCCTGCAGAGGAGAGAGAGCCGGCACATAAGCTGATACTTCTGCATCCTTTGGGTACCCTGTTCCTCCCTCTGTGTTATTGTTTGTTACTTTTACTGTAGATTTTCATTAACATATATGTGAGTCATAAGTGAAAAAGTTGTATTTTTAGTCTTTTTAATCACTACAGAGTGCCATTATTGTGTTTAGTGTATTGATACTTCGATGCCACACAAATTTTACTTTTAAAACAAACATTTGAAAAATCAGTATATACATATATATTTTAGCATTTGTAATTTTGTAAAGACGTGTGGGGTGTGTGTGTGTGTGTGTGTGTGTGTGTGTGTGTGTGTGTGTGTGTGTTTTCTCAGTCCAGGCTGCTACAGCAACACCACGGACTGAGTGGCTAAAACAGCCAATATTTATTTCCCACAGTTCTAGTCTGGAAGACCTGATGCCTGGTGAGGACCCTTTTCGTGGTTTGCAGACAGCTGACTTCTTGCTGTGTCTTCACTTGGGGGAGAGAGAGATCTCAGCTTTCTCTGTCTCTCTTATGGGCACTGACCCTATCCAGGAGGGCTTCACCCTCATGACGCTTCCAGAGGGCTCCACCTCCAAGTACCATCACGCTGGGGATTGGGGCTTCAACATACGGATTTGGGGGGAGGCTAACATTCCACAGCAAGATATAAAATAGCAAACGGTACATTTTTTATTTAGAGGTAGAATAACTTTAACTACCATTGTTTCTTGACGTAAATATCTTAACAGAATTACAAAGTGAAGTGTTTATGTAGCATTAATTGAGCACTCATTCCAGGAACTGCTAGAATGATCTGAGTGACGCTGCTGCTTAGGGCAGAATAAGGGCTCAGGGAAAGACCAAAATGCGGAGTCTCTGCTTCCTTTTGAAAGTTAAATTCCTGCAGGAAGTTCTCACTGTATAATTTGAATCGTGTGGCGATTTGGATTAAGTGATAACCTGAAATAAATCCGTGAACTACCGTGACTTTAAAAATATTTGTTAAAAGATGAGCTGTTAAAAAGCTCCGTTGTGCATTTGTAGGGGATCCTAGAATAATGAAGCTTATCTAAAACTGTGAAGAGGCTTCCTGGTCGCTACTGTATTTGATACGTTAATACAGTATATAATTCCTTTTCATTGGGGCACACTGCGGTGGAGCGAAGGCCAGATTTGCTGTGCGCTTCCCTTAAATTCATCTATTATTATAGGATTAGGACCCATCAGTGTCGGTATTTGTCTCATGTTAGTGATGGGTAGAGCGTGTTGAGCCCTGTAGATATTCTGAGTCTGAAGACTATTTGAGGTGAACTGGCAGGAACAAGTTTTGGAAACGGGAGAGAGCGCTACTCCATGCCTACAAAAAGCCCTCTCATTCCTTCCCCAAGAAAACAGGACTCTGAATTTTGGCCAGCTGGATAGACAGCTCTCGCTGCCTCTTGTAGCAAAGGTAGGCCCAGTGAAGTTTCTCACTGGGGGAGCTTTTCTGAAACTTGATTAAACATATTAATCAATAGACTTGGAAGTGGAATAGTGTTTCAGCTAGGTGCTGAGAGACTTAGAAGAGCGGCTGATGTAGAACAAAACGCTAAGAGCTGTAATGAATTGCAACTCCCGTGCTTTGGAGCTAACATCGGGGAGCCCACTGACTTAGGAGGTTTCCCGAGGAGGTGCCTTCTGTGCAGGCCTCGGAGTTGTCCAGCAGCTCCAGTCTCTATCCCAGCACGCACTCGGCATCCTGCCAGACCAAATGTAGGTTGCAGATTGGGGGGGAAAAAAAGAAAAAACACACAATGAGCATTATTAGCACAGCCAGTTTAAAATGATGAGGTGTTAACCACATTTGTATAAATAACAGTTTCTCTAACCTCTGAATCATTATCCTGCATTTTTAATGCAATCGGTTCATAAACATCAAAGCGAGAACACCAAATTTGTGTGGGGTCAGGACCAACTGGGGCTTGAATGTAGAGACAGCTGAGAGCTGTGTCCTCACGCGTGGGCGGTCTGGCAGCTGTTGATTCACCCTCGGGCTACTAGACAGTGGCCTCTCTGCCCCTGTCATCCAGACTTCAATCTTAGGTAAAAGTGTGTCCCCCTCCCACTGGACGGACGTAAACAATGGTTTGACATCAGCTCTG